CACACACCACTTTCATAGGGAAGGTGAGTGAAGTGTCTTACCTAAGGACACAATCAGCGTTTTTGGCATTGACGCCCCACAGTGGTTGCTCATCCAAGTATTAACCAGGCCCAGTCCTGAAATCTGATGAGAGGACCTTGACTGGCCAAACCTTCGTGTCAAATCTCAAAAAATATTAAGGATTTTTTTTGCAATCCTGATATGATAGCACAGGTATTATCAATATTCACACCGATATATTGGCCATTTTGTGATCCATTTCACCTGAGTAGGCACATGATTTTATTGTAGATCTGAACTATAAGAATATTTTTGCAAGCTGTTAGTCAGTGTGAAATTTCAAAATGTAAAAATCATCATGCATTTGGAAGTTTCATTTGCACTGAAAAATAAAATGGAAACTATTTAATCATCTTAAAAATCCCTAAAATGGCTTACATGTTAAAATCTCTTGACATACTGTATTTGCATATAATCTCCCATTTAAATACTGTGTTTGCTCCTCGTCCTGAGTGAGGTGCTATCAATTGTCATTTGACTCATCATGAAGAAAGCCATAGCACCTCCTCCTAAGCCCCTAATGACGGCCATTAAGGCTGTTTTGACAGAAAATTACATGGTACTTTTCTTTGAACTGTGGGAGGCAGTCCACCCACTCGCCTCAAAGAGCAGAGCGAGGACTCAGGAGGCTGACCGGAAAACTTATTATCCTCATTATTTTCCAATAGGAGCACAAGAGGCACTCTAATGAAATGTAATGGTTACAGGCATCATCAGGATCATGGCTATTTTCATAACACCTTTTAGATTATTTTCAAATTTTACATTAAAAGAACTTGCCCTAGCTTGAAGTAAAACTGTGTAACTTCGTAAGATATGCACGTCCGGCAAGAATGAATCTAAATCAAGCTGACCAAAACATTTAGAAATCAAAGCATGGGCACATTTTTGGGAGCATTAATTACTTTCACTTTTTCTTACTGGGGTTTAATGTGCAACATCAATTAGTAATCTTTATCATTAAGGAAGATTTCAAGTATTTCAACTTTCAAAATGAACTCAAACAGGGCTGCAAGATGAATCCAATCAAAATGAAATCACAATTTGACCTTAATTAGCAAAGGCACTCAAAGCATTTTACATCAAGGAACCACTCACCTATTCACACATACTCATACACCAGTGTATGCAGACACTGGGGGTGAGGTGGGTTAAGTGTCTTGCCCAAGGACACAACAACAGCATTCACCTGTGGGAGCTTGGATCTGACTGCTCAACCAATGATGCTTTTGTCGAGAGCAGGATTCGAACCGCCAACCTTTGGAGCTGTGGTTAAAGACTGCCAAATAAATTACTGCACCCTTTGCAAAAACAGCAATTTTTGAAGCACCAGCATTCCTTACACAAACACTAAATATCTTGTCTTATTATGCATAAAAATGGCTAACCCTGCAGTTCACAGAAATATGTTCTGAAATGTGTCAGTCTTCTGGATGCATTTAAAATTTGAACTTTAAACGGAATCCATAAATCTAAAAATTTGATATTTCAGATAATGCACTAATGCCACTTGCTAAAAGAAACTTCGTGGTTAATTTCACATTGACAGTTCTGCAATACGCAGTCTTAACCAAGAGATTTACAGGCATATAGCACATTTCTGATAGATTGCAAAAAATTTTATCATCATTGAGGTAATCTGAAATAATATCTAGATACAGTTTTTGGCAATATCACCCACACCATAGGGACCAGCTCAAATAGTGGTTTTATTTTTACAGCCTTGTAGGGAGTAAGATAAGGCTGTTAAGTTTGATAGTAGAACAGACAGAGTAGCTACCTTCAGCTGCCTTTGTGACCCTTGAGTCTAATGCACGATCAGCAGCTTTCACAGTGACATTGACAGCTTAGCTCCTATACTTTCAGTCTGTCTTTCCTTCCCATAGGGTACACTCTCTGAGACGTTGTAGAGGACAAATAAAAAGTAGCATGTTTAGGGGCGGAGACAAGTAAATCAATCACGAGCCAGTTAAGATGTATGCAACTCATGTTAACTAATAGGATGAAGGGAAATGCAGGAGGGGAGGGAAGGGACTTGGGGCCAATTATAGACATTTTATAAGATCAAAACAGATTGAGCCTCCCAGGACGTGTAAAATGAACAGATACATGTAGAGACCATTGCAAAAGAAGGTTAAATTCTTTAAACTGTGCAAAGGTATTTAGAGTGAATATGTTTGGAAGGGGCTTGTCATAATACTAAAATTTCAGTACTAAAGGAAAGGACCAATACTCAATGCCAAATTCAATACCACAATGTAACTAATTAATGTAATGAATGTATTAAAGTAAGTATGTAATATAACCCTATGTCATGTCAATCACTATTTCATCTTTGCACTGTTTCTTTTCCTTACCTATTACTTGTTTATAGCTAAGATATATTTTGTAGTACTATACTTCTTTTATTTTTTTACTCTTACTTGTACATATACATTTATATAATTATCCCTTATTTGACACCAGTCTTTTTGTTATTTTTGCTCTTATTTTGTATGTATTATTGCCATTCATATTTTGTGCTCTTTGTTATTAAAATATATTGTGATGTGTGAGCTACTGTGTCCAAATAATGTCCCAAGTCTACCATGTGGCTTTATGCTACTTCTTATACAGATCAAAATCACTCTAAATTTATTCAGGAAAGGTCAAACTCTGCCCCAACTTTTCCCTTTTAAGATTAACTTTTTCTATTCTATTTGACAAAGACTCTCCAAATTAGTCTTTCAATTCAAAATGATACACCAAAAAAGTCTGTCAGACTCTTTCACTTTTTAGGGCAATATTTCTGTGGATTAATTGCTTTGTTACACAAGAGTTCTATCTCCAAATCTCTGGTCCATGAGTGACAGCTCATTTCAATGGAGCCATCTACCAAAATCCAAGTATATCTTTTGAAAAGCAGAATGATCATTATTATCCTGTACACGAGTGTTCAGAGTGAAGTTAAGGTCCTTCCTGAGCATTTTACTTTCTTTGATACCACAAAAGTTTTTTTTTTTCCTATTCTCAAGTTATCTTTTTGGGAACTTCAGTCATCACATGTTGACAAGTTAAGATTTCTTCAAAAACCTTTTAACTTTTTGTTTCACTAGTCAAATGATCTAATTCAATAATATTTTTTAACCAGATAAAAGGTAAAAAGTAAAAGTTTCTACATAAAGAAAATTTAAGTGTATAATTGATTCAAGTGACAAATGTTTTATTCACTTGTTTACTTACAGCATTTCAGTATAGTCCAGGTAACATTTTACAATCATGTAATAAATATTTTAGCAATTGAAAACATAATTTTATAAATGGGTCTAAAGGGTGAATTGTTGTTTTAGGTGCCAAATGTCCCTCTGTGTGGACCTATATCTCTGTTTAACTGAAACTGTGCACTCTCCAGTTACTCTGAGTCTGACGAGGTCTAAGTCTGAGTCTGACGAGGACCCAATGACGGACATGTCTCTCTCCTCTGTTACATTCTTAAAATATGCTCTACTTGAACTCCTGCATTCATATAAGCATGGCCATTTTTGCTCTCATTAGCAAAAGTATATATACGCATGAGCTCTTATGACTTGTGAAGCTTTGCATGTAAAGTAGAGACTTCTGATTAGTAAACTTCTTTTAAGCATCTATTCGCCTGGGCCATAACAATTATTTATTTATTTAACATTAAAAAACTCCCGATATCAGCTTTTTCAATCATCTGCAGCCTTAGCATCAAGCATTTTCCACTGAGCCAACACCGAAATCATGTTAATTTTTCTCTATAACACATCATGAAGTCGAAGCTCTGTTAATTTCCTGTAAAACTGCACATAAATAAAGCATGTGTTATAACTCATGCAAGGATTATGGCAGAATTTATAGCACATGTAATAAAAGCCATCCATAAAATGAATGAAAAGGTCACCTTCCCAGAAATTATGGTTGGTGCATATATATATATATATATATATATATACATATATATATATAAAAAACACTCCTCTAGCAATTTGTCATGCTTCTCCTTGGTGCGTCTAACAATAGAGCAGGAGACAGTGTATGTAAACAGGGCTGGTTGTCACAGGCAAATATGAACAGGTTTTCTATTTTATAACACAGCAAATACTTACAGGCGTAACAGCATAAATATAGGCACGCTGAAAGAACAGGCTACATTTTTATCATGACAAAAGTGGTGGGAATATTACATGACAATATTTTATTGCCAAAAAAGGTAGGATATAAACAGAAAAGGGGGCAGAATTTGATGGTTTGCTCCTTCAGTGTTCAGGGAATAGGGATGGTACAAGATACAAGATGGGGACCATGGATGAGACAAAATGAGATTTTGACATAATTTATAATAAATCAACTGTGGAGTTCAGTTCACAATTTTGGAAACATATACTAATGTATTTTTATTTAAAGATCCTCTATTACACAAAATGTACTCTTGTGAGCTTTAAGCCATGTTATAATGCTGTTACCTCATCAAAAACATACTTGGACTTTTTTTTTTGTTTCATTCAGATGTTCGGGTAATCCTCTGTTTGTCCACTTTGTGATGTCATGATGTGGTAGTTTTCAAGTTAATAGCTACCTTTTACCTTGAGTTAAAAGGTGTTTAGCGACAGTAGCTCAGTTGGTAGAGCATTCGTCCACTGATCTGAAGATTGGCTCTCGACAAAAACATCATGGGTTGAGCAGTCAGATCCACTGACCCACAGATAAATGCTGTCATCGTGTCCTTGGGCAAGACACTTAACCCACCTTGCCCAGAGTGTCTGCGTACACTGGGGTGTGAACGTGTGTGTGAGTGATAGTTGTTCAATAATTTTTTTTTGTTACTAAATAACATAACCAGGGGCAGTCATAATGTGGAGTCTAGCTGAGGAACATAGCTGTGATCTTTAGTTCTTCAATAGACCCCATTTCCACAAACAATTACAGTGTGTACGCACCTGTCGCGGCATCCAGCGGAGATGTTGTAAAGGTGATTGGCAGCTCCATCAGCACAGGCCTTTAACAGCGCTGCACACAGAAATATCAACACATTATGAGGCATGCTGGGACATTTTGTAAAGACATGCATTAGAATTGAACATCGCTATGGTTACAAACTTTCTTCTCGTTTCCATCCATTTTGGTGCGCCCTAATCTGCCGCGTGCAGGTATAGCTCCGACAGGTGTAATTTTCTCCTCATATCTAAATAACACCATGCCACTGGCCCCTTCAAATAGTTTTCACAAAGCTTCACTGCTGACATGAAACACAATCTGTATTTCTTTAAAGGGAAATTATACTAAAACGCTGTATCACATCCGAGACTGCGTTCTAATCTTTTTGAGGAACACACAGCTCAGTTTTACGCTATTCTCATTAAGAGACTCATGACAACTAATTTTACAAATGCTTCTGTAACCTCCAAATTGTTAGAGCCCCGTAATTGAACTTCAGGGCCGGATTTATTTGCCAATTTTTAAGAGTACGACATGTAAAAGGCTAAATAAAAGAGCACTTTCCCTAACTTTAAGAAAGCAAAAACAACAAAGCAATTAAACGGCGTGCATCAAACAGTTTTTCAAGTTTTCCTCCAAATGAGATGCAAAGTATTTGTTAATATATGCACTTTTGTGGCCTCTATTCTATTCAAATTGAGACGAAAGCTTATTTTAAGAGCTCTTTCCTGTGTGCAGCTGGAGAGGTGCAAGGGGAGATGACTTCAAAGAACAAGCTGCCTGGTTTTCTTTAAAAAGCATTCAAGGTCTTCACAAAATAGACAAGGAACGCGTCTCAACCTGAGTTTCCCTGACCCTCACAATCACAGACTAAGACATACCGCACAAAGGAAAAGCAGCAAAGTTATTTCTACTTCTTGGAAAACAGGTATATGACAAATAAACAGATGTCTTGTTTTATTACAGGAAATGTGTGAAAAAATCTCTTCAAGTAGACCGACATGTATTTCAGTTGTTTATCAGAAGAGAAGAGGAATGGGTTCATTTCACTTCAATATGATTCACTTCACCAGCACCACGCTGAGACTGTCTGACCGTTTACTTCTGCTAGGCACATTATGTTGCTTTGAACAGTTATTATCTAGACACAGTGTTGATTTGTATAAGGGATGGATCCTTGCATTTCTCATCTGTTGATTTAAGCTTCAACAAAGTGATGTTCAGTGTACTTTCAGGACTTATGTGAAGTTGCCAACTGAAAACAGAAATCTGTTTCTTTAGTCAATATAATTAAATACAAAAGAAGACACATTATGCTGCTTTTTCAAGTATTGTATGAAACTTATAAACAAACATAGATCAGTACGGTGGTTTACAATGTCAAATAATTACCTAAGTGGCTAAATAGGTCCACGAAAAACGTTTTGATCACGCCCTAAGTAAATTAACATTTTTTTGTTTTTTTTTCCAATGACCTAAAAATAGCCAACTACGTGAATATCCACTCTATCGATGTGAAATAAGAACTGCCATGAAGACTGAGTTGTGTTTAATGCCTTTATGGACTTGAAATGCTTTCATTTCAACATGATTTCAATGAACAGGCTCACTACCAGCAGTAGCTTTGAGCGCGCTGTTGCTTGGACAGGGCCTAGCACTTTGGCTCCAGTCTCACCTTGTCAGTTTTGGGCCAGTCTTTGTGATAAAGGACTGGGCAAGGATTACATATGTGTGGGACAGATTAGAGTTCATACAGCCAGGGAAAGCTGAAATAAGAGCGGGTCACTGGTAGAGATGTAACAATAACCGAAATATCATGATATTGTAGCGCCAAAAGTCTCACAATAATATCACAATATATCAAACTACAAGTCTCTTTGTTTAAATTAAAAGCCATGGTGATTCCAGTGTATTTTTTGATTTTAATATCTTTCTGTAAAGCACTTTGAAATACTTTGTGTACAAATTGTGCTATACAAATAAACTTGCTTTGCCATGGTGCAACAAAACAGAGGGAAATCTATAGACCATGATCCTTTTTGTTGACAGTGCAGACTACGTGAAAGAAATAACTGTTATTAAGCACTTTTAAATCTTAATTCATCATATTATGACAGTGCCAAAGGCTTTTCCAAGGCTTTTAAAAGGAAAAAAGTAGCATATTCACTATTTTTTGAGCCTCCACAAAATATCGCAATAAATATCGCACCATGAGATGAGTATTGTGAAAATAGCATTGAGGAATTTTGATATCATTACATCCCTAGTCTCTGCAGCACAACATCAGGACTGTGCATGGTGTTGCACACAGGTCTGACAGTGACCGACCCAAAAGTGCCTCAGCCCACAAGGAAAACTCCCGGTGCTCCAGATGGCCAGTCCAGCCCTGAATATATATGAGAGAAAGCAGTTATAACATGGTTAAAAGCTCATACAAATCAATTTTGCATAACATGTCCCCTTATTTCCAGAAAGGATAACCAACAATTCCAGAACTTACAAAGAAGGAGCACATCCTCAGCTAGCCTAAACTCATTTAACACAATGAAAAATCTTTATGGTATCAGTACCTTCTGGACATAATGGGCCATGGCAGAAATGATTTCATCCAGGTAAAAACTTGAAAACAATCCAATGTTTTCTCTGACACACTTTTTTAATTTATTGTTGAAAAGTGGATTTCTGACATTTTTGACCCAGAGTCTTAAAAATCTCAAGTAAGTACAGAGAAGTAGGCGGAGATAGGGGGCACAGGTGAAAACTGACATTTTTGGAGCATTTAAGTCTTGAATGCAGGACAATTCAGGATTACTATCAATCAACTCAACTCAATTTAAGCTAAGTTCATGATGAGGGACCTCTGTTGTAACATGGCTAAAAGCTTATGAAAGTTGATTTTTCATAATATATCCTCTTTAAGAACATCAGATCACATATCATTGACCTATATCTTCTAAAAACCTTAAATTTCAAACACCTGCTTTTCCAAGTTACATGAGATAATCGCTCAGTCCCATAAAAGGGGGCATTTTCCTCAGTGTGCCCATGGGCGAGCACTTAAAATGTCATAAAACGATGGAAAGATGTAAATAAAAGAGTTATACCAGGAGCTCTCATATTCAGGAGCCACACCACCTGCTGTCTGTGTAACGTCTGCAGATGATTAGAATGTAAATGACTCATTATCTCCCGCCTCAGTGCAAAAGCTGACAAAACTTTTCACAGGAAAACTTCTCCACACAGGCACAGGCTCCTCTTTAAGCTGTGCATTGACAGACTGAAGAGCTATTGGTGATGATCTGAGTCTAAACAAAAGTGAAAACAAAAATATCCAGCTAGGAGGGTTGGGTAACTTTGCTCTGTCAATCTTGTTGTCAGTGTTTGGATACAGGAAGACCAATAAAGGCATAGGTGATGTAATTGTGGGATGCCATATCAAGCTTCCAGTGAAACTCCATACTCAATGTTTTTGTCATTCTTTGAAGAAAATAAGCAAATATACTGAGAAGAACAGCCTTATATCTACTACAACTGTGAAAGTTCCAAGCATGCACAATGATGAAAATATTACATTGGACGGCATCTGGCAGTAACCCTACTTCAGATACCGATTTCGATGCTATAGCTGTAAGTGTCTGCCGATACCTAACCGGTACCAACTGCAGAAACTGAAAACATCATTTATTTCCTTTAAACTAAAATAAAATCAGACAAAACTGATTTAAATGATGTGTTATGTAGCTGTTCATTATCTCTCATGTAACCACAGAAGAGCTTTGTTAAAATACAATTTCACTATGAATTTTTCTACAACCAGTAAACACTCTTATTACATCAGTTTAAATGTCCATCCAGGATATCAGCTGAGCCCATATTTGGAAGCTTTTCAGTATCAAGCTGGTTTCAGTACAATAGCAGTATCGTATTGGTGCGTCCCTAATGTAAAATTAACATGCAAAAGACTACACAATATGATGCTGTGGAGAAGAAAGCCATTACACAACAACTGCACCCTGAACAACTACTAGGGGTGTGCAAAAATATCAAAATATCAATATATTGTATTCTTTAATGTGATGATACAGTATCGATATTGTGGGCCGCTGTATCAATACATCGCAAAGAGTATTTTTTGGTATAATTTTCTAAATTATTTTGTTACAGAGCTACAGTTTTGTTGTTTGTTTAGTAAAAGGAAACACAGACACATTTGACATTTTCATTGTTTTGATGAGTAAAATTTGTTTCATATAATCTTAGCACAAGAAGTGGTTTAATAAAGACAATAATTTAGCCTTTATTTTTCATTGAACTGAATTGAATCAGTTCGAAATATATCGTAGCAAATCGAAAGCTCACTGTATCGAGACATGTATCGTATCATGGCCTATGTACCGAGGTATGTATCGTATCGGAAACTTCTTAATGATACCCAGCCAACAACTACTATGAGATACAACTAACAATTCCTTTTTTTTTTTTTTTTTTTTTTTTAACATTGCTCAAACCTGTCTGATTTCCAGTCCTTTAATATTTTTAAGGGCTACTGATCAAATTTCAGTCATTTATAATCTTCAATAATTAGGGTGGTTTAATAATAATAATAATAATAATGGAAAAGTGCTATTTTTAAAAATGTAACTAAAAATATGAGGAAAAAATCGATTCATTTTTTTGCACATTGCTCAGCCCACATATTCTAAATAATATCTCTCTATTTTTTGTTCTGCTTCCCGCCTCCTTCTGCAGTCCAGGTAAAGCCTCACACTTGAGAAAGACATAAATATATGGAGAGGTGTCTTCTGCTGGTGACAGTGTGATGTGACAGGAGGCGAGTGGGGACGGCCGCCACAGTCAGAGGAGATGACCTTGTAAATAAACCCTCCATCATAATCCTACCCCGCGGCCGCTGCTACCACTTGTCCTGTCTCTCACTCCTCTGTGACAGATACAGCCACTATAGTGCACCGGCTCCAAACCTGTCATTTCACATCACATTTTTAATCATCCCCGCCGCATGGGTATGTTCAAATACTGGACCCTGATTGGTTGTTTTGGGAGGCTGCATTAAT